ATTCTACACACAGAATAATTTAGGACTAGCTGCACATCAGACTAGGAGCTGCAGTTACAGTGACCGCATATGATGAGTTACATATGTACTATAGCAGCACAAACTGTGTGCATAGTTCAATAACACTTTGATTATCAATGAACTCACAGATATATGAAGCTTAGAAAAATTATACCCCTAAGATGTCCAGAGGCAAAGTACGGACAACGCTCTGAAGCTTTTAGGACAAGAGGTCCAAATGGAATTGATGGAAGTTGTACACATATAGGATAGACCACAAACCTTGAGAAATAACCTAAGTTCAAGGACAGCATCGCTTCTTCCAAAGCAATCACCAGCAAAGCTTATTTCTTTCTAACATACTTCCCAAAAATCTATGTCAGATAAGCTAATCTTTGTGGTTAGCTACTATGAACTGATATTTGATCAGGAAAATTATGCTTGAGATTGACACAAAATTAATAATGCTTGTTGTGTGGTGCCCGATGACAAAGGTAAATGCTAACAGTTCTGAAATCTTAATGATTGCCAAAGTACTCTTCTGAGCTTTGATTAGGGCTTGTGTTGTGCAATTATGCTTTTCTATAATTACTGTGAATTACCATCATGATATTATTATTCTCATATTTGTTATTCCTCTGAAATTGTCAGAATTTCCTGCAGCTAAAAATGGATTTCATTTGCATTACCACAAGCTTTGATTGTTTAATGAAAAATAATTCCATGCAGACCCTTATGTTAAATTGTCCATTTAAAATTTTCCTGTTATCTAGATTATGTTGAAGTGCCCCTTCTTTCACTTATCGTTTGCCTTTATTATCATAGTCACAGCCCTTGCTTTATGCTAGATTTTTCAGAGAAGGAAACAATGAAAGGCATTTTTATTCATACCCCTCTCTTCTGCCTGGAAGCCCTTTGCCCACATGTTCTTCCTTTCCTTAAAACTCCTTATTTGGAAAGCTTAAAAATGCTAGCGCTCTCCAGTAAAATGTGGTAGCTGTGCTTTATTTAGTTTAATCCTGGTTGCATTAGGGTCCACGGAGGGCTCCCACTGACTTGTCTAAGACTTAGAAGCATGCCCTAAGCGAGTGACTTGACCAAAGGCCATCCCTGTCTATGCCTGAGCGCAGCTAGATATTTCCCTCTCGATTCCACGTCGTGGGTCAGTCCATGCTTCCTAAGAACATCCCTCTCCCTCCTAGTGGCACTCAGCTGCTGCCACCTCACTACTGGAAAGCTTTTGGCAAGCATGGATATCTTCACGGTTCTCAGTGTTGTACTGGCTTGAAAACTCACAAGATAACCTCAAAGGACAACCATTTTTAAAACTGGCTCTGATTCTCAATTTGAAGCAAATCTCAGGACTGGTTTTCAAGGTGTTCAAACTTCCTGCAAGCAGGGCTGATTAACTTTTCATTAATTGGATGGATACTTAACAGCCTTGGGGAAAAAGTGAAAGACCACATCACCTTCCGAAACTCCAAAAAAACCAGGCTATTTTTTGCATGTTTCACAATGATTTTTGTTTATGAGCAGGAAAAAACTAGACTTACCTACAAGTACTGGTTTTTGAAGTCTTATTTTTTTTCCCATTTGTAGATACTGATTTTTTTTCCCCTTTCTCAGTCATTTTACAGAATGCCTCCTGATATCTTAGGAAATAACACTGAAACAGGAGTGCAACTGTGTTTGGGGGAACACTCAAAGCATGTGTTTAGTGATGCTGTTATGAAAATGTAGCTTAAGCCATGCTCCAGCCAGTCTTCCAACCGCTTTATAGGACCAGAGAGGAAAGAACAATTGACGGTAGAAGACTTCTGGATACTGTATCCATTTCAAAAATCAGAACCAGGAAGATTCATTCAGAAGCTATGTTGCAAATATCAGACGCTATTAGAGACAATGTGGGTTTATAATGGTAGAAAATATACCTAAATCTTTTTCAAAAGCATTAAGTTTAATAATTGCAATAAAACACTAAATAGATATGAACTTCAAAATTAAAAACTATTAAAATATCTCACAATCTAAAGAAGTCATCTGCTATTTGAAATTATTTCTTCCTAAAAATACCACTTCTTTTTGACATAAGTGCATGTATAAGTAGATGGACAAAAGGGGATAGAGAGACAGAATCTGTTCTTGAAAACTTACTGACATTCAATCAATGTTTTCTAAATTTACATGGAAAGGCTTCATTTCTATCACAACAAAAATGGGAAAATCTTGTGACCTTTCCAGTTTTGAAAACCTCTCGTCTTAATATCTGATTTGTACGGTTCACAGTCTAGTTCAAGTTCATCAACATTTTGCTGCCTGTAATTTAAAAACCTTCACTGTACTAGTTTTACTAAAAGACTAATTCAGTAATTTTTAAAACAGATTTTGTTTGTTTCTCATATCTAAAGCTATTTTGGGATGCATTCACAAATGCCAGGCTTGAACAAGAAGATGGCCTAGATATCTCTAAATTTATATTGTGTATTTAGCTACATGTGCACAGAATATTATTTTGTTCCTTTCTCTCTCTCATTTCTTTCCAATCCTTTTCCAGTCTTCTGTTTTTCAACTGGTTCCATTTTCACCTCATATACGCATCTCATTTTTCTCTCACCTACACACGAGTCTCCTATGTAAAGTGTTAATATAACACGTGTGGGTCACAATTTCACACTTGCAATATTCAAGTAAGTTCAAAGTTACTCATAATAAGTTTGACCATGCCTATATGTATTTTTAAAGAGACTAGAGCCTGGATCAAATGAAGGGGAAGAAAAACCATTTTTCAAAAAAGTCTTATAGAAGGATATATTTTTTCATTTTCACCATGGACAGAAATAGAAATGCTATTCACAAATAGAAATACTTCATCTGTAAGTTTATTGTGATGTGGGGAAAATGGAGCCCACATTGAACATCTGTAGATTGTATCTTTTGAAGCAGTGCTCCACCATTAAGATTGTACAGTGATAGCTAAAGAATGTTGGGTTTTGTAGCAGCAATGTACGCTCACGAAACCACAACTTCTTTTCATCTGCTTGTCAGAGCTGTTGAATGTGTTTTCATTGCTTCCTAGACGATTCATTGTTCCACTGGGCTGTGTACACGTTTGATGAAATGAGAATAAGCTACATGGCCATCTCTGACACCGACTTGAAGTACTGGTCCTCTATCGCCTAACCCACTTAGGGCAGCCAAGTGAATAAGCTTTGCAGTAACGCTGATACTAAGATTAGCAGATGCCACACTTTCATCCCAGCCTGCTTCGTATCAGTTCTACTCGAAGTCACACTGTTCAAGGACTGTTATCATTAGGTACCCAGAACAATATTATAGAAACAAACAAGCAGGAGCAAGTCACATATCAAGCGCTGACTGTACCAGTGAGCCAACTTTCTCTGACTGGCAATTAGTGTACAAGTAAAATATTGAAGAAGCTCCCAACCGTACTTTGTGGAAACTTCCACTCTACCACCCACACGGTCACCGCCCCATCTCACTCCTTATATGGGAGGTCAGCACAGATCCTGCCTGTTTCAGAATTTTTCTTTTATATGTTACAGATCAGCCTCAAGAGCCTAGGAGAGGAGTTAATCCTACACACATGTGCCTCCAGTGAGACGGCAACTGTCCCTGGCGAAGGAATTAACACCCCTTTTAAAGATATCCTCTTTATTCTGCGCTTCCAACAAACAAATCAAATCCAGCATTCAGCAACTGCATGTTTCAAATCACCAAAAGCCCTTTCAGATCTTGGAGCTGTAGGCACTGATAGAATAACCTCAGGCACCCTGTTACAATTGAATCATAACCAGTGACACTCTCTTTCCCATCCCACTGCACTGAGTTACCTCCACTGTCTACAGACAGGGCTTCACACGCTCTCGGACAGGGAGTAATGTGCTGGACAACAGCGCAAATGTATTATTAAATATTTCTTTTATCTTCAGTTACAATAGCCACAAATTCAGCCAGTCCCCAAATATTTTCCGCTAGAGCATTGCACCCACGAAGGTTCCGGACCTTGGAGACAAAAGAGGTGATTAGGCGATCATGGCTCTTCAGCTACTTTTATCTTGCCCAACCAATTTTATCCACAAAACCTTGAAGAAAATACCCAGATACATGCCACAGCACAAGATGAAATGAATACAATCATCTGTGTTGCTGTGTTTCCTCCTAGGCCTCCTATTCTTTCTATGAGATATTATAGGTTTGGCTGTTGACCTTTCAGTTTAAAGTTTAGGTAAGGGCGTTAGAAATCTTTCAGCTCCCAAGTGCTTGCCTGTGATGGGAAAGACTGCAGTCAGTGACCTGAGTGATCCTTTCTGGTTGTAGGTTCTTCTGTCCTCCCAGGAATTAACTATGCTAGTCCAGCGCTGAACTCTGTGTACTAGAGTAGCTATATTACTTCACTATTGCAACTTACAGTGTAGCCTGGAAGGATTTCCTTTCTGTATAAATTGGAGGTTCTGCCACTGACCGTGGAGACTGCCAGCAAAGAACTATTTGTATGCAGTGTTTAATGAGTTCAGTATTACTTTGCGCACTTGCTTTACGCATAGGCAGAAGGTGTTGCTCTTCCACCCCCTTGAACGTTCTGCAGAAGATGGAAGAGCAGCCTGAATGCAGAGATGTGAGGAAGTCACACGGAGTGCTGTACCCAAATCCCTTCAGACAGGGACACAGTTCAATGAGTTCATATATCCATCAGCATAGATCCCTATTCTGCTTATAAATTCTTAAAACTATCTGGTTCAGGTTAGAGCAGCAACTCCAGGCTGCCTGGATAACACAAGGGAATTCGAGAGATCAAGTTCTAGTCCAGGAAATGCCGCTTAACTGATGAACGCTCTTGGATTAGGCACTTTCCTCCCCATGCTACTACTTCTGTTTGCAAAGCACAGAGTTATATAAGGATAGGGAGTTGTACGTAAAAAGTTGTACATAAAAACATACTCTACTTTTCACACTCTGCTAACCTGCAGAAAGGTTTAAAGATGTGCTGCTCTGACGGTCAAGATGAGTGTTTTATTGGTCATAGCCGGTTCTACCTGTCACCCACTAAGTCAAGTTATGTAACTGTGGCCAGAGGTATTACTTTTCTCTAGACAGCTACATATATGCCTGGAGGAATGTGTGAACTGTCTTAGTATGTTAGAGTGTGAATAGAAAGATATAGTTTAAAGCACTTCGGTAGTTGTGCACATCTCACCAAGTTCTTATCTGGGCCTTCAGGGACTACATGCAATAATAAATAGGGCTTTTTGAATATGGTTATTTGAATAGGCCTTTTGGTGGGTGGCAGATATAAACAACATATAGTTGTGGCTGAATCTGGACCATCTTCAAGTCAGTATATGGTAGGATCTTCTAGATAAACCAAGTTTTGCTGAAGACGGTTGGCCCAGCTCCCTGCTGCCGGAATACTGCCTGAGTCACCCATTTCGTTAGTCAATTCCCAGACTGAAATTCTAATCACAATGTGTAATAAACTAGGCCAGTCATTTAACTGTATTCAAAAGAACACTGCCTGTTCTGGACAAAAATTGAGGGACAGCCAGTAATTCATACCTCCCTCTGTCCCACCCTGAAGGCAGTATCTAACACCAGAGAACGGCAACATTCCAGTGTCTCTGAAACGAGATGAACATCAGATACTGTAGAGCGGACTTGCAACTACTGCCCTGAAAGAATCCTTGGTAGCACAGCTGGGCTCTGATGTGTGAACAGGACTAAAGAAGTAACAAGTCTGAAGCTCTTTCTCTCCTTGTCCTGCCTTAATTTACCTCTGCACCGATTCTGGAAAGTAAAAGTAAGCCTTACTGATACGCACCAAAGTTAAACAAATAAACAGTAATCACAAACACGACAGAAAGGCAACATGCTGAACTGATGTTATTGACCTAGCCAGCACACTGCCTTCTCTCCATCTGGGAAGAACCTTGCAGGGGAAATGGGAGCTGAAAGTCCCCTCCACATGAGGAGCACTGACCTTCTCATGTAGAAAACAAGCCTGGGTGACTATTTGATCTTCCCTCTATTAATTTTATAGCTTAAAAAAAATTCCTTTCGGCTTAATGTATCTATCACACAGAATCAAACAAGTCTAAGCTTGTTTCTACCAAAGAAAACAGATGATTGTCATCTGGCTGCAATGGCAGCAAGACAAGCTCAATGAGAACTGCTGCATCTGTACTGCTATAATTTACTAAGGAACCAGACCTGCATTCTGCCAGGGATCTTCAATCTAACACAGAGTGAGCTGGAACACTGAGCTGTCTGTTGTCTAGCATGGAAGCGAACCAATTTCAAAAGAAATTCCAAAATTAGGCCAGCAGCAAAGGCAACACTGTGGATGAAGAGCAGGATGTTCAGAATAGTAGAATACATCTGTAGAAATCCTCCTAGCTAGAGCTGATTAGAAAGATAAACTGTAGAAAGTACCAGAGGATCTCTCTGACCAATTATTCTTTTTCCCTGAAAGTGAAATTTCTCACAGGGGTATATTTACTTCTTCTGAAGGAATTGGGCCTGGCTCCAGCCCTAAGAATGCCATTTCAGAGCATCTCAACTGGAGCTCTCACCCTCAGGACCCGAGATGTCCCAAAAGTGAAGCAAAGACGGGAGCTGGTGGGCCGGTGAACCTCTGCCCTGAGACCCTGATTAGTCTGGAACATATCAGCAGGGTGAGCGAGAGGAGGGCAACGCAGAACCCACAGGGCTCAGCAGCTGCTGCACAGGCTGGGGGACAACGTTAATTACAAAATACCAGGTTTAAATATTTCCTGTATCTAATATTGTGGGATTTCAGTCAAAAACAAATTTTCTGAATTTTTGCCTTTTTTCCCAACATTCAAAAATTACCACAAGTTGAAGAATTTATTTTGGAAATCCTCAGCAATGCCCAGGGGACATGACTTTGACTAATGCTACTGATTACTCTCAATTCTCACCTTAGGCCTTTGAAGTAAGCTTTGTCCCAACTCTCCAATCTCCTGTTTTCTAATACTGAAATTTTTGTCTTTCTCATTCTTTTTTAATCTTCACATTTTTAAAAAGTACTATTCCAAATCTTACATATTTCTGTAAGTCAGGAAATATATTATTCCATTGTTTAGCAAGTTTAATAGCTCCCATGTCATTGAGTGAAACGTAAACATCAAATACAAAGGCCTCAGCACTTCTAACTGATTAGGGCTCTCTCAGTTTTTATCCCAATTAATAGAGCTGCTAATCTTTACTTTTATAAGACAGAGAAATGTTTCAGTAAACCAGGAGAAAGACGAGTGAAATCTTAGCAATAATAAGCGTTACTAGTTGCCACAAGAGTACTGTTAAGACACGCAAAGCGAAGAAGGCTTTGGGCAGTGGTATCTCCCTGTGATTTTTTGTTTCACAGTTTCAGCTATAATTTGTATTTCTTTTTGTTTCCAGCAGCACTGCTCACCCATGTAAAATCTGGAGACATCGGGTGAAGCAGATTCAGAACGAGCGCACTCCCATATTGTGACATACCAACTCTTTGCTCTCTAATCTTAGTTTCTGTCCAGCGTTTGAAGCAGATTAAACCCAGTACCTTCAAATCACCAAAAGAACTTTCTGACATAAAACTCCTTCTTGAGTATCTATAGCCACCAACAGCATTTTGATGGTATTTTGAAATTATATTTTAACATCACTGGCAAACATAAAGTCTTTCAAAGAAAGTGAGGAGAGGTTACTTTGACTCTGGCACCATCTACTGAAGAGTGAATAAAAGTGCCTGGACTACAGGACCAAGAAAAGATTTATCAATCAAGGAAACATGTCCTAATTTCTTCAGACATAATATTGCAGTGTGAAAATTTCTATTTTCTCGTCTCCAAGAAAGCTTTCACTTACATCCTTGAAAAATATTTTCTTAGCTTCCTGTTACTGTTGACATTCAACAGAGTGCAATGGTATAATGTAATAGGATCTTTCCAGGCTGTAAGATAACCAGTCCAAATAAACAAAAAGTTGCTTGCACTGACTTTGCAAGCAATTCCTCACTGCACAGACACTGAAGAGGAACAAGCTATTTCAGTGCAACTGCCAGGAATGTTCCTAGCTGTGCAAAATCCATTTAAATATGAATGTGCAAACAAGCCTCACATGAAGGCACAGTTTTCAGAACAGTTTTCTTTTTCTTGCCTTTCTGAATCTTTCATTCTCTCTTCCTAGACAGAATACGTTCACCATGCATTAAAAAGCAAACCATAAATAATAAGGAACTGCAATTTGTGATTAACATTTAAGTTGAAAATGTTTGTAAGTAGAAACTTAATAAATGCCAGCTTTTCACTGGGTTTTTATGGTTGCTGGAAAGCATCAAAGTTGAGTTTCATATGTTTTTGCCACTAGTGAAAAGACAGTATTCAAACAGAGAACAGCATCTGTAATACAATAACAAAATATTTGTAACGATAACAAAAAAAGTTATTGAAAATGGCTGCGAACATCAAGTCCCTGACAACCAGTAATCTCCCACAAGGATTTAGGTGCTCAAGAGAAATACCGTATTGTGTCTCTTTTTCCCTGTCACACACATTGCTTTAGTCTACTATAGAATCTCAAATTCCAAAAGGGGGTAAACAATTTTAAAGTCTAAGAGCTTAGGGGAAAACAATAGGCAATGTTTGCCTCTGTCTGCATGCTTAAAAATAACTCACTTTAAAAAGGAACAGAATTTAACTGTAATCAAAGTGAATAAGGACAACTAGGGGTTACTGCACTTTCAGAAGATGCAGGCAGAGGACAGTAAGTAAAAACATGCTGCAAAATAATAAGAATTGATCACTTGTACCTCTGAGCAATGAAATGAAGACAAGGAATATTTTCTTAAGCCTACTGGACATTCAGAAGAACAGAGCCGTCATGCTTGCAGGGTCTGCTGATTAATGCTTGGCTTTAGCGTAATATAAGATTTATTGCATTTTGCCTGAAGTGGGTAATTGAATAATCCCTCTAAAAAGCAATATTTTTTCCATGAAGTTCATAAAGCTAATATACACCAAATCTCCAAGCAGCAGAAGAGAAACAGCATTACCTGTGGAAATCATCGGACATAACTCATAATGCACAAGCATCACTTTATATAAGTTGTCATTAAAGTGTTTTAAAGGAAAGAATAAATAAATAATTTTAAATACTGCCTATGTACACATATCACGATTGGTTGAACTAACAGTAGCTCTTGACCTTGCTTCTTTTTATATCACAGTAACTCCACTGAATCATTGAATACTATTCTCATTCTATATGGACTAAAATCAGATTCAAACTCAAAAACAGTCTGACTCAAATTTGGTTTACTTTTGCTAGTCTTTCAAGCTACACTGATAATATTTCCAGTGGGTGGGAGATAGGTGAGCAAGTTCCAAAGGAACTACTTATACTCTTGAAAATTAATGGAAACACAGGGAAAGTGAAAGAAAATACATACTGATTGTTGCTGTGTTTGGGGCTTACAGACCATGTCTTATAAATTTCTTATAAGGCTTGGACAATCCACCAAAGATCCAGCACAGTACCATCTCAAAGGCAGCCCACAGTTTCCAGGAAGAATCACTATGAACAGGTGGAGAATATAAGCTCTGACTATATTCCAGAGCAGAAGTCATCAGAATGAAGATAGTACCAAACCACAGAAGGAAGTGAGGTGTTCTCTTCTCCTGAGTCATACCTAAGCCAGATCAGAGGGGCATACAGTAACGACCATACTTCCTAGGGCTGGGTTTATAATCATACAAAGCGTAGGCTACACTAGCAAACCGAAGATAGGTTAATTAGTTTCTGCAAAAAGAAAGTGAAGAAATTAAAAGAGAAGCATTTAGACAAAATGTGGCACCATAAATTCTCAGATGCTGATAATGTCAACAGAGAAAATTGATCTCATAGTGCCTTTCAAAGCAACACAAAAGAATATGCAATATTCTCAAATCTAACAATATCAAATCTACCAATATCCTCAAGCACAGAGAGAAAAAGAAGCTTATGTACTTAGACAGTATCACCTGCAACTATTACCAGGCCTCCTGACATTCTTAGAAGAAAAAAATGAGCAGATTCAATGTGAGAAGAATACCACGCCCTTAGACTGTAATTAAAAATACTGTATGGAGAAAAGACAATAGAAGTATTGGCTGGTGTAGTGGCCTGCAGGCTCCACTTAAAGCCATGAAAGATAGTAGAACTTTTCTGTGGCAGCCCACAGTTTCCAGGAAGCTGTTTATTTTGAAGACATCTTACATGCTGTAACAGCGCCTTGACTTCTGATAATCAGGTTGGTCCTGATTTTAAAAAGTATCAAAATGCAAAGCTCAGCAATATTTCAGGACATTCTCCATGACATTCTTAATATTGAATTTTACAACAAAGCTAGGGAAATACTTCAAGCTTCAGCAGACATTCTGAACCCGGAATTACATGCCTTTTTTTGCTTAGGGCATACGTAACACTGCAGCTAAAAAATGCCAACTTATGAACTTTAACAGAATTATGCTCATAGCTCTGCTCAAGTTGGTTCCAAGTATCATATCTAACGATTTGGTTGGAAGCTTCTGAAACCATAAACATTAGTATAGGGCAAATTCAGTCCTAGTGTTAGTAGATGCAACTTAGCAAAAGCCTGTGCTGTCACAAAAGATCTGACAGGTTTGCATTTCTCAGTAGGCTGAAAGCTACATGTGACTGCATGGCACATGCTATCTAAACCTAATTAGTGCCAAAAGAATAAAGTCATAGTATTTCTCTTGCTAGGTCTCCATTAACTTATTTTGAATTAGCTGATACAGAAACATACCAAAACCTATTGCTAGAAGTACTAAAAGAACATTGAAAGTATAATTCAGAACAACTGAATAAAAATAGAACAGCAATAAACAGCAAAATAGCCCAGCCAAAAAAAATCAATTCTCAGGAAATCAGCTGAGGTATCCCTCAGCTTTCCTAACTGCCCTCGTCTTTGCTCTCATGCCATTCAGGTTTCCCCAAGCGCCGTACAAATAGGTGGACTTTGCACCATGACCTGAAAGTCAACAGGTTTACGCAGTCCTGGAGAGAGATAAGTGAAATCCAAAGAGGAGGAACTAACGCTACCGACTTAAACACCAAGCAGTGGCGCAAGCATCTTCCCCGATGGGTCGGTATATCATATGAAGATATGACATACCACCTCTTAAACTAGCTTGTTGTGTCTGTCACTATTTTCATAGCTTCTCTGTATCACACTGTCTGAAAACACACTTTCTGGAGGCCCAAGTAAAATCAGCTCCTCGGTGAATGTAAACTAGTAAGTTTTTGAGTACAGTCAATAACTCTCTACCTAGACATAACAGCTCAGAATTTGGACCTTAATTTTTCACAACTCTTTTCAGTCTTTGTTTTTCACCTGGCCATGACAACAAAATGACCCTTTAGCTAGGGCGTGCAACTTACACTTCCAATATTATCCTCAGCGGGTTACAGAGTTGAGAAAGTTGTGATTCCTTTTTCATTAATGAAAAGTTTCTCTGGCTGGGTTGCCAACGATATAATACATTCCAGACATTCTTCTTCTCTGAATTAACGCGTATGGGATTACTAATATAGTACTTTTGACATGAGAGCTCTTGTTTGATTGTGTACTTCAGGTTACATAACTTCACTCGAAACACCAATGGAAACACTGGAATTCTCTGTTCCTATATTTAACTTCCACTTTGAAGCATCTGGTAATCTCAACCAGGTATGAACTAAATTATGGGCCTCCAATAAATTCTCAGGATACTGTCTACTACTTTTTCTCCCAGATAAAAACACATTTTTAAAATGTGATGTTGCCATTTAAAATTTGAAAATAACATTATCACAACATATGTAGTAAGACAATGGAAGAATGAGGGCACATTTTTGGTACTAACGCGCACTTAGACCGAATAAAAGACACTTACATCCTACAACCATGTTTAGCATGATGTTACCTTGGGAATTCAGCACAAAGAAATAGGTCAAATGGGACATACTACTCCAATACCTCTTAGGGAGTGAAGGTGTTTGTTCTGGCTCCTGTTAGAGTAGACTAATAGCATGTCTACGAGAAACATGGGAGTTGTTAGCGGAAGAAAAGTCACTCAATCTTGAAAGAAAGAAAGCAGTGTGGGCTGCCAGTGAAGATGGAGGGGAAAACAGATTTCTTCAGTGTGAACATGGGACTTTTGCCCTTGGAGAAAAAGTGCTAAACATACAGAGAAGATGAATCCACATGACCATCAGAGCAAAATAAGGTTCACAAATGTTTTGTTCAGACTAAAGAGCGCTGGTTGGGGAAGTAACAAAAAAAAAAAAAAGGTCCTATTTGTGCAACAAAATTCTATTCAGCTTTTCAGGGGGCTACTTTTCACAAAAATATCCCTTTCAGTAGTGGAGAACTACACACATTAGGCTGACTTTGGCACTGACACCACAGATCAGTCATATATTTCAGCACGTAATTAGGCTCAGGCTGTGGTCAGATGCTCTTCTGATTGAAGCTGAGCTGGATTAGCAGGGAACATCCACCATTCCTTCTCCCTATCATCAACACATCTCCTCAGCAGGAGATTACTGGCTTTTCAGGAGTGCCTGCCTCCCAACCTTCAATAATGCCCTAACCCAGGTTCAAGATAGTTTATATAACATCATTAGTACTCTATTTCGCAGTACCTTTGATCAAACTGGATAAAGAAGTGACTGGGAGGTATAGACCTGCTTTGTACTGTCTGATCTGTGGAAGGGGAGAGAGGTGGAGATAAGAGGTAACTATAGAATAGGGGGACAATAAACAGGGAAGCAGTGAAAAGGAGCCAGAAGTGGGCACAGACAGAGGGGGAAGGTATTTGACTCAGCTGCAACTAGAGTAGTAGGTCATACAGAGCCCCTGAGCAAACAGTTCGCTGCCTTGCCAAGTCACAGCCTTAAAGGGAATTGCACCAGTGTGAACTGATGAGGTCAGAACCAAGAGAAGCGAAGTAAGAGTATGCCGGTATAGGCAGCCCAGCCCTGAAGAGTAGGGCATAATACTTTATCCAAGCAATTCAGCCACCGAGTTAAGAAATACAAGAGACTTTTTAGAGGGGCTGGGGGAGGTGGGGGAAGTTTACCATGATACAGACTAATATGGAATAATTATTAGAGTAAGAGCCAATTCTTGAGCCAATAAAATTACAGAAGAAATTAGTGGCTTATGAAAACATAGGCAGGGAACTAGGTCTGACTGAATGATCAATGTTTGTGATGCTAATTTTGCATTCTCCATTAAGCAACCAAAACGCATTCTTTCATGTAGAATTTAGCAGTCTGGCAACACAAAATGTTATGTAGTACGTTTTGTTTCAGACAGATGCTAACAGAAAAAAAACAGAAAGGGAAGTCCAGACTCTATAAGCAAATTACAATGAGGCCCAGTGGGGACCATATAATATAATAGGATGGAAGTTTGGAATGGCTCAAATATTGGGGGGGGGGGGGCATTAAAAACTGGGAGTAATGTGAGATAGCAAATCTTGCCAAAATATTTATGCGCCTCTGACCTAGGCAGGTTAGATCTTCAGATGAGAAACTGTTTGTAACAAGGGCAGCTAATAAAAAGCAAAATTTATGGCTTTCTCATCGTAAATGCTGCCCCAGATGTTCAACCACAAAGTACATAGGTTAACCACCCAACCAAATGCAAGGAAGATCAATAAAACAACATCAGGGTATCCTTTTACCAGTAAAAGCAGAATATCTGACGAAAGAGCAAACAGTATATGGTATCTCAGGTGACTCCTTAAGACTCCTGCCATAAAATTATTGAGGATGTTAATATGAGAATTGCAATATGAAGACCAAAGACCATACTTTATACTCTTCTTCTTTACAATGGGAGAAAGAGAGCAGTTTTCAGAACCTGGACAGGACTGATACTATCCCTGATGGGTTATGAGAAGTTCACATAATACGCCAAAACCCCTAAAGCTTGACAGATAGAATCATACTGTCCTTTTATTTGATCAGATACAAATGCACATGGGCTGTGTTCCATATTCTAACGATAATCTGTTTTCTGAGTTTTTGCACAGAGAATAACATCAGAATTACTAGCATTTGTAACCCCAGTACTGCACACTATGAAGTACTCTACCACAATCCTTCACTTCACCCATGAGAGGGTTTTAAAGCAGGCACTGCTTTATTACATAGATATCTGATTAATCACCGTGTACTCTTCATATTCTACAGCCAAGAGCATCCAGAGCTAGAACTGCTGAAATGCAAGATTTCCCTTGTTGTTTGCTGCGTAAGTCTAATAAAGCCTTCGCCTTAGCTCAGAATGCCTGCTGTCAGTTGCAAATAGGCTTACTGCTATTATTCATAAATTTTAAGGCTAGATGCATGATTATGCTAATCCTCATAATAAAACAGCAATAAACTTGCCACCAGTAAAGGTGAATGGTTCCTGCAAATGACGGAAGACTAGAATAGAAGATTTTTGAATGTTTATGTGGACCAAATATTCAAAAAAATTTAAAATATTTTCCAGTGGATAGTTTTGTTTATTTTTTTTCAGTGCTGAAGCTCAGGACCTCTTAATTATATTTTACATAAAATGCAGCCTTCCTTGCTATTGCCTATTATGTGTGTTGGAAGATTTTTGCTATTTTACTTTCAGAGATCATTGATGACATAGATAAATTTGTGAGGACACCAAAGGCTTGGTTTTCCTAACTTGTCTTTGGGCCTTTAGCTGACAATGTAACGAGAATGAAAGATGATTTTTTTGTTCCATGTCAGAGACCTTAAGAGTAAATCTGTGGGGGAAGCAGCTTTGGAAAAACACAAACGTTGCATTTTTACATTCTGCTTTGCATAGGAGACAAATAAAAGCAGCTGCCAATTGACAAAAAGCTAGGAATAAGCAGACAGAAAAGAACCAGCAGAGCTCAAAAATTTCTAGAAGCCAAACTGCAAAAGTCAAGTTATTTAAAAGGTTGGGCAAGGTGTGCAGGAGTAACGGATGAATTATTTACTTATTTTTGTTCTTTGGTTTGATTCTCTCATGAACATAGCACAATCAGGAAACATTCTTGCTTGGTATTTGCATCTCGGCTACTTTTTCACATTCATTCCAGATGATGCAATGTGACAGGTTTTGAGTGCTAGCGCAGTGTTCCTGGTTAGCCAGGGCTTGATTTCAGGAATTCAGCTTTCAAGTGGACTATGGTACATGGATGCAAGACATGTTAATGTGGTTTTCAGAGTTCAAGAATGAATTACACTCTCCTTATAGACATACATAGCTGATGAGTATTATAAAAGGATTGCACTACTCTATTTTGCAAGGGAAACTTAGAAAGTGCAAAAGATTCCATATTCTTTTAAAGCATCTGTTATCTTTCCATCTAACGCCAGGTGTAGCTTTAATGTCACTAAAGTCACTTTACAGCTACTTTTCTTTTTTTTTAAATTGGCTGTGCCCCAGAATAGAAAGGGTTACTGTAACTTCCCACTTAGGTTTCCATGATTTTAATTTTCTTCGTTGGCATTGCATAATTTTTCATGGAAAAAAGTCACACACTTGTTTGAAATAATTATATTCTAGAGCACTCCATGGCAGTGATGTGAGGCCACATCTTTTTCACTGTTTCTACTACTGTCATTCCAGGATTATTTTATCAACATTTCATTTGCTAACATTCCGTCCTGTTAGTGTTCACATGTACGACGTGTTATCATCAGCTATATCCCACAGTGCTTTTGTTACATATAAAAAGGAATGCCAAGAATCTAGGATGGGAAGTCTGATGAATTATTTTATTCCTGTTGCTCTCCTACTGTCTGTCTGCTGGTGCCCAGCACATGAGAACATCATCACTGGTCAGACCAAAGGTCCATCTAACCTAGTAGCAGATGCTTAGGAAAACAAGGTATTCAGAGACTTATCCTTCCCTTGACATGCCCTCTCAGTTCCTCAAGCCAAACCACTCAAGGACCTCCTGATGGCCTCTTTTCTCTTATCAGGATGAGTAGATTCAAGATGGAGTTTATTTTTCTGTCACACTATAATGAGATTTCTGACATGTGTGTTCATTCTTCTTGCTCTTTCCTCTTTATTAACCATAATAGCTGGAGTTGCAGTTTATGCTCCCAACAGTCAGAAGACCAGTTGTTTCCACACATAAGATTGACCTGTTGTGTGATTTGGGGAAAGACACTTTCTCCATTTCCTCTCATACTCGTTATTGGTATGGTGCTTAACATACACAGGTTTCGGCAGGAACCTCAACATACTGCAGCAAGACAAATAGTAACAGCAACACTGCACATCCCAGTTCTTGACCAGTGAAAATACCTGCAACCTTGGACCTTTAGTCCTCCTCAGTCAGCATCTGCATTTTCTTCCACTGCTGCTCTTCACCATGCCAACACTGGACCTTTAGTCCTCCTCAGTCAGCTGAAGAAGCTGAGAAGCGCCTACCTTGCGGTAAGGGTTATCCAGTAGGAACCCAACAATCCCCCATACCGGATTTACTTCTAAAATGCTTTTTTTCATTAAGCTACAGTTTCAGCCTCTCCCTTAACACCACCAAACTGCTGTTCCTATCTTCAATAGCCTGAGTTTCTGGATCAAAACTTACTTTTCTTCCTGGAAGAACACTATTGTTTAGTATGACATTTGTAACAACAGAGCTGTTAGGCTAATGGTAAATCTAGTCCAAATTTCACTTC